ATCTCATTTCCCTTTGGGGTTGCTGTAGGTGATCTGGAAGTCTGGTTTTGAGACTTATTTACGTGTTTTCTCATTTTGACTGGGGCAGGGGGTCTGTTAGCTCCTGCACGGATTACCTCCTCTGAGCTAGGCGAGGTGGGACAGGGGCCAGGAGCAGCAGTAGGGATGGTGACTCAAACGCCCTTTCCTGTGGGCTGGGAGCAGCAGGAGGGATGGTGGCCAGGAAGACCCTTCCTCTGGACCAGGAGCTGTGGGATGGTGGCTCAGAAGTCCCTCCCTCTGGGCTGGAAGCAGTGGGAGGGATGGTGGCCTGGAAGCCCCTTCCTCTGGATCAGGAGCAGCGGGACAGAAGGTGGCCCAAAAGCCCTTTCCTCTGGGCTGGGAGCAGCGGGAGAGATGGTAAATGGGAAGCCCCTTCCTCTGGACCAGGAGCAGTGGGATGGCGGTTCAGAAGCCCCTACCTCTGGGCCGGGAACAGCAGGACTCAGTACCTTGGTCTGGTGGTCTGGTGTCCTCTGTGTCTTTGTAGTGTGGAACCAGGTGGCTGCCTGTCTGCAGTGGGGTGATTCAGTGTCTTCCCTGGCCATTTATACTTTTTCTGAGAAGTGTCTATTCATTTCAATTGCCCATTTGGGGGATCTTTATTTTTTTGAGGGGATCTAGCTTTTCAGTTCTTTATATATTCTAGATGTTAGTTCTCTGTCTGAGGAACAGCTGGTAAAGATTTTTTTTTCCATTCTGCAGATTGTCTCTTCAGTCTTGTGGTTGTTTTATTTGCCTATGCATAAGATTTTTAATTTGATACATTCCTATCTGTTGATTCTCGGTATTATTTCTTGTCCTTGGGGTTCTGTTCAGAAAGTTCTTGCCTACCTATGCCTTCAAGAGTTGTACCTGTTTTATCTTCCAGAAGATTGTTTCTGTTTTAGCACTTAGATTTTTGATCCATTTTCATTTTAGTTTGTAAATGCATGATGAGATGGGTTTTGACTAAGTCTTTTGCATGTAAATATCCAATTTTCCCAGCACTATTCATTAAAAAGACTATCTTTCTTTCAGCATATTTTTTGGCCCCTTTGTCAAAGATCAAATAGCTGAATGTGCCTGCAGTTATTTCTGCTTCTATTCCGTTCCACTGATCTACATGGCTGTTTTTGTGCCAGTGCAATACTGTTTTATCACTGAAGATTTGTAATGTAACTTCAAATCTGGGTTTGTAATGCCTCCTCTTTGGTTTTGTTACTCAAGATTACTTCTGCTCTTCTGGGTCTCTCCTACTTCTATATGAATTTTTGAATTGTTTTTTCTAGATCTATGAGGAATCCTGTTGGTATTTTGATTGGTATTGTGTTAAATCTATACATCTGTTTTGGAAGTATGGCCATTTTAAATCCCAACCACTCTCTTCCTTTTTGACTCCCTCCACTAATCTCCTTCCTTCTCTCCAGAAGTCCACGTTCTAGTTTCCTGCCATCCTGGTTTTATTTTACGTACATTTTTATTTTTTCCAATTTTTCATGTATAAAAAACCATGCAATATTTAACTTCCTAAATCATGTTATTCCACTTAATAGTTAACAATTTGATCTTCTTATCATTCTGCAACTCAACACTCTAATTTGAACAAATGTATTAACAATAGAAAAATCCTTATTGGGCAGCCATCTCATCTGGAATTTAACAGAGATTTTCTTGCCTTAAACCCCAAGGAAACACATCTCTTTCTTTTGGGTGGAACATCAGAGACAATGGCATGCAGGTGATAAAATTTCATACCTGAGAAGAGATAGGGTTTCCTGGTGCCCACAAATCATCTCAACATAGATATGTATACTTCCATAGTTATCCTGGAGCATGGATTTAAAAAACAGCCCCAATACACATAGACACATTTGCACATACACAACCCAAGAGGGCCATGTTACAAAGTCAGGTATATACCATGACTCTTCCTCTGCCAAAAGTTTTTTTATAGAACAGGGCTTGCTGGTGTCCAACAGCTGAGCACAGGGTGAAGCAGGCCTGGCTCATCACACTGGTGCAGTAAACACATAATGCAGTCACATGCATACATTCACCTGGTGGTCATGACCTGCTTTCTGGCCCTTACTGGCACATAGATGACATGAGAATCCAATTCTCCCAGGGATGTATGGCAGAGTAAGGCCTCACTGGAATCCGCAGATCCCTCAGCCCAGAGGAGCATGAATGAACACAAGGGCAGTAACTCAGAGTACTTAAGAGTACAAAATAACATCATGGCACTCAGGAGCCTGGGGATCATCTAGGCAGCCAACAGCGATGCTTCCCCTGTGGGTGGAGACTTGGAGAAACCACAACTCCAGGAAGCATTTGGGGCATCAGATGGGTGAAACAGCAAGCCTCCCATAATAAAAGTTATTATCTCACAGGAGAGCAGTCTTTTCTCCGATTTCTATCTAAACACTAGGTAAAAAGGAGTGTTGGGTTGAGAAGGGAGCACACAAGCATTTAAGTCATTTATAGTTTACATTTTTATGGCACAGCAGAGATCAGCATCCATTTTCCAACTGCAATTAGTAGACAGAGCAGTCTGCCAAGACTCCATGTAAATTGTGCCTATTAAAAGAGTCCACACCATGCAATGATTGATCAACACTAAGGATTTATTTACTGAGCTAACAGCGATTTTTACTTTTGCCATTACCCAGGGTGATCCATAACAATTTAGATAATGTACCCAGACAGATGCATTTATAACCTGGTGTCAGAGTCCTGTCTTTAGGCTGGTCAGGCCGGGGGAGGAGGAGTTGCTGTTGCTGGTCAGGGCAGGGAGCGTGGGTGGGGCCTGAGGACTTCCAGGACAGGGCCTACACTGCACCCAAGGGAAGGCATGGGGACCGAGCTGCTGCCTGTCCTCAACAGCACACTGGTCCTGTGGGTAGGCAGGTTTCCCTCACTCTGCTCATCTGTCAGTGGGGATGAGATGGCTGTATTTTACGGGGGGGGGGGGGGGGGCAGGGAGGACTTGTGAAGCCAAGATGAGATACAGGATGGTAGGCTGTAGAGATGCCATTGTTCACTGTCAGCATATATTTGTGCATGCAGAAGGGTTCTTGAGTGCACGCACACAGAAAATCCCCTCTCGCATGAACAATAAGCCTCTTTCCTTTTTAACAGGGTCTTCTCACAATCTCCTTGTTTTCTTTTCTTGGCTGGCACCAGATGGTATTTAACACTTTGCTGAGTTCTGGTGACAGGTGCTGAATGTTCCCTTCTCAGCACAACCAGTCTACTCTGTGTGCCTGTAGGCTCCTGGGTGACAGACCCTGGCAGGAGCACATGCGGGGAAGATGGTCCTGGTGGCTGTCCCATGGGAAATGTCTCCGCATAAACACAGATGAGCTCTGCACACTCCATAGGGTTTCAACAACCACCCCCTCACATATATCAGTTGTTTCCATCTCCCAAATCTCTGCTCCCTGGGAAGCTCCCTCAGTGTGTCTGACAGGCCCCTTCCATTGTAACACAATGCCCAGAAAACTCATCTCTTCCTGATCAACTGCCCCCAAACTTCTGCACCATCTGCTAGAAGCATCCCTTATGTACCCACACTGTTTGAGAACAGACTCACCCTGACTCCCTCCTCCAGCCCTCATGCACTAGGTCCTGCTTTCTAAGGGCTCTCTTGCCTAAATAACACTGGCCCTTCCTCTCCCTCCTCACTACTGCTACCAAATCCATCATTCCCCACCTCGTTAAGTACCCTGGTGTCCCTACCCCCAATCTCCCCACTCACCACAGGAACTTCCCTAGCATCTTTCTAAACACAAACCCAATTGTTTCCTTTCTCTGTATTACATTCTTCAGTTAATCCTGCCAAAATTAGGCTGAGGCTCAAACTGCTTTGCCTTGGAATATGTCTGACAGATATTTCTTAAAAGACTCAACTATGCCATCTGTATTAGTCTGGGTCCTGCAGAGGAAACAGAACCAATAGGGTGGGGTGGGGAATGGAGAGATTTTAAAGAGTTGGCCCCTGTAATTATGGGGCCCAGGGAAAAGGAGATTTTGCAGTTCAAGTCCATAGGCCAGCCGCTGGCAGAAGTCCTTGTTTGAGGGAGGTCAGTATTTATTCTATTCTAGCTTCCCATTGGTTGGATAAAGCCCACCCACACTGTGGAGGGTCATTTGCTTCAAAGTCCACTGATTTAAATGTTACTCACATTTAGAAAATACAGAGATCCAGAATAACGTTTGACATGGGGATTTAGCTCAGTGGTTCCACTGCCTGCCTCAAAAGGGCAAGGTCCTGAGTTCGATCTCCGGTACCAAAACAAACAAACAAATACCTATTTAATTCAGAATAACATTTGACCAATATCTGAGCACTCTGCCTCAGCCAAGTTGATGCAAATAAACCATAATATCACCTCCTTTCTGTAATAACAGTTAAGGTTTTGGGAACAAGCAGGACTTGTCTCCTTCCTAGGGACCAGGGGAGATTCCTCTGAGTAGCTCCAGGCAGAGGAAACTTCAGAGCTGGAGAGACACCAAGATCATCTCATTGGAGCTGTACATGGAACAATGGGAAGAGAGAGGCCCAGAAAGGGCAATTAAATGGGAAGGCAATGTGTGCTGTGTATCAATTCAGTAAGTATTTAAAATATGAGTAACATTAAAGGTAGAAGCTGAGGGTCTCCTACTGTGTGACACTCATCAATGAGTACAACTTGTCCTCTCAACTTGTAATGACTTCAATTCATGACATTTTGACTTTATGATGGTACAAGAGCAGTGAACACTCAGAAACCACACTTAAAACTTTTGTTTTTCCCATGCTAGCACTATGTGGTATGATACTATCTTGTGATACTGCACAGTAGAAATGATTCACAGCTCCCCAGTCAGCCGTGCAATCAATAGGGTAAACAACCATTACAAGACAGTACACTGTGTCGCTCAGCTAGGACATTTAGTAGGGCAGGTGTGCATTTCAACTTATGATACCTTCAATTTATAATAGGTTACTGGGATATAACCCCAAAGTAAGTTGAGGAGTGCCTGGGTTTATCATTGAGCAGAACCCAATGCCTACTGAATATCAGGCCCCATGCTGTGCATCTGACAGAGTGTGTGGGCAGTGGACAGGGCTGAGGCTCCGATTAGGCAGAGCCTAAAGGCAGAAATCTAGTGGAAAGAGGGCCTCTCCTGAAGTTATGTTTCTCTGGCTAGCACATAACCACTACTTCGATTGTCTCCTTATCTGGAGTTATCTGGGGTAAAGAATGAAGATGATGAAGGGATCGAGCCTCTAAGCCCCTCCCCAACTTGGAAGTGCCACTGCTTACACACAAACAGGGTACTCTGGAGACAAAGAGCACAGGGTACATGTTGAAATGTTTGCTCAAAACCATGGAGACAGTAAGTGGGAGCCCAGCCTGCAAACTGTGCCAGCTCACAGACTATCCTCCTCCTCCTCCCATCACCCTCCCACACTCCTCCCCAGAGATCCACCCATGCACACTGAGCCTCTGGCCCTCAGTAAATCCAGGGAAACAGGGTTTGCTGCTCCACCCTAGAGAACGGGCTGCAGGCCTCGACAAGGCCAAGCCTATAACTTAACTGATCAAAAGCCTTCCCAGCTACTTATTACAGCCAGTCCCTTGCAAATAAGAGGGACTCCCATCAGTAAAAATGGCTACAAATGTTGCTGTTCCCAGAGTTATGGCAAAATGTGTCCCCTCAGACCTGTGAACTCATGTAGAGAAGTGTCACATTACAACTGCAAGTGGGTTTTCATCTGGGAATAGGTGACTATGAATGGAAGCATTATGCCAGGCTACAAGCATCTTCCAGACACATATGCAGCAACCACAGCCAATCGCTCAGACGTTACCATGGGAAATAAAGAAAAGATGATGACAACTTCTTTTTCTTAAAAAAAAGTGAAGAAAAGGATGCCCTGAAGTTAGATTTTGTAATTTTAGATCCATTTCTCAGCCTTAAAAAGCATATCACTCTACTGCTTCCTTCCTTCCTTAAAATACAAAAAAGCAAAAATAGACTATACTCAGTCTGGTCTCCAAAGGCACCAAAATGGTATCTCCCTCCTCCAATCAGAGTTATTTAGGAAAAGCAATCTCTGGCATATTACATGTGCACATAAATACTCCAGGGCAAGGCCGTAGAGTGGCTCCCAGGAGCTGGCATGGGATCCCTTCTCAGAACAATTATGTGTCACCTGCAGGCAGAAGGAAAGGTCTGAGTTAGACTACGACCGGTCTTTACTTGTGCAGTAGGCTTGAATAATGAATATACTCCCATCTCCTTCCCCCATGTGGCCTCAAGAAAACCACCACCTCCCGCTCCATTCTGGAAAGGAATCACTCTACCTGGATGACCCAGGGATGATGGGTACTACTGTCTGCCACAGCCCTACCCCCCACACTGCCTCCAACCCATCTGGGCTGCACTGCATTCACTGCCCTATGTGTGTATAGGATGATGCAGGGAAAGTTGGCCCCACTTGGGCACCTGGAATTCTGCAGAGGGAGACTGATGTTGAGATCACACACTCAACACTTCCACAAATCAGTGACAGGAATGTTACCTTGTCTTCCCTCTACCTGGGTCTAACCTTCTCCAGGCCATCTTCTGACCTGCAGCTGTGTCTATCAAACTCATTCTCCTTGCCTTCAAAACTCCAGTGGCTGCTTCTCTTACCAGCACTTCCCACCCTTCCCACAGTACAGCATGCACAAAAAGCCATGGACTCTGTATGGGGCAGCCACTTAAATAGGAGGCTGTCCATGTCTGCCAGAACACAATATTAAACTGAAAAAGACACCTTTCATGAGAGTGGTCTAGGTATAAGTAGTGTTCCTTGCCACTCTATTCTATTCAATTCTAGTCCAACTATCCACTCCTCCTCCAACTTATTTTATTCCATTTTTTAAAAATGTGATCATAGTCTATTAAGTTGAATGTGTAACTAATCAGTGGGTCCTGAATCAGAGTTTGAAAATCTCTAGTCTGCAGATTTCTTGGGCTAGGACCTTGAGGAGTCACATGTCCAGCCGTAGCCCTTTCACTTCTTGACAGCCTCCTTTACTCCAGTAATCTTCCAATCCTGAAGCTCTTAAAAAGTTCAAGTCCTCACCATGCCCACACCTTTGCATTAACTCCACCTTGTCTAGGAGTCCTCTCTGCTTCCACACTGGGGAACAACCTAAGCCCCTGAAACAGTGTCCACCACTGTACTGCCTGGCCACTCTCAGTGCTGGGAGACCTTCGGGGATGTGACATGTCCTTCTCAGTTCTGTTCCTAGAAGGCCAGCACACACTGGCACATATACTGGGCAGTGTTGCTGAGCAGGTATCAAGTACAGAGCTCAAAAAGAAAGTCAAGCACAATGATGGGTATCAGAGGTCAAGTGGTGAGAATGGTGGAGCAGTCACTGCAAGCAAGTTTCTGCCACGATCGCCCCTCCCTGACCAACACAATTACTGCCACAATCACATCAGCAGCTGCTTTCGGCAGACAGTTCATAGTGGCCCCTAGGTCCCACCTCCACACTCTTGTTCTTAAGCTATTCATGGACAGAGAGCCAAACTTACCGTGTCCACAACTGATGGCATCTGCCCACCCAAACCTGCCCCTTGCATCATTCTCAAAGGTGGGGAGACAGAAATCCCATCTTCCATCGCTCAGCCCAAACCTCGGCAGCCTCCTGGCCCTTTCTCTCACGCTCTTCTTCGAATCTGTTGGGAAACTGTGTTGACTTCACCTCCAGGATACCCCAGAATTTGGCTTTGGTTCTCCCAAGCCTCCACTCTACAAACTTCCTCTTTCTCAGATGACTGCCACAGCCTCCCTGTCAGTCTGTGTTCCTGCTTCCCCACCTCCTCCCAGCTCAAAACCCTCACAGTGTTAGGCCAATCCACACACCATTTCTACACATCTGGGACAGCACACCCTGGACTCTTCTTGAGGATGTTTATGTACAAACATCCTTGAAAGACACAGAGATAATATATCCTCCTGGACAGAGGGCAGATTGTTTCCTGAATAGGATAAAGATGTTGTCTTATTCTAGGGCAAAGTTGGGGAGATTTGCTAATGGTTCCTAGTAAGATTGGGGATTTCCTAACCTAGGAGTTCCTCTGCTGCTCCGAACACCTCCATGGGCCTTGAGGTACAAGAGGAATGAATGTGAACAAGAGGCTCACACCACCCACTGTGCTGAAGTCAACAAAGTCCTTGTCTCTTCCTGACTAGCCACTGTGAAACTGCAGCAGGCTAACTTGCTGCCTCCCAAGCAGACCTTTCTGCACAGCTGCCAACATGCTAATTTTATATCTAAACCAGACCAAGTCTCTCTTCTACTCAAAATCCTATATTTACCCCCTGCTTATACAGGGTAAAAGCCAAGTCCACACAGTGGACACAATGCATGCCTGACTTGTACCTCGCACCTGGCCCTACCTTCTGCTCCTCTTCTCGTCCCTCACTCTGTCCCAGCCATACTGCCTACTCTAGATTCTTCAGACACACCAGGCACACACCCTACCGCAGACCACCCCTGCTGTTCCTTCAGCTGGATGCTCTTCCTTGTATCTATGTGGCTCACCCTTCTCCTCCTTCAGGTATCTACTCAAGGTCATTTTCTCACTGAGACTATCCTGAACCCCTGTCTAAAATCACATTCTCCTTATACTTCTAATCACTGGGTCCCAAAGGAAGGTGTGCTCCCACCTATCCAGGTGCTTCACCAAGTCTGGCCTTTTCGAATAGGTTTAGTCACTCACCACCATTGTCACACTAAGCAACACTGACCAGTCCCAGCCCCATCCCAGGAACAAGGGACAGATGGGCCAGGTGCAGACACGAAGGCTCAGCTGTAACCGGAGGAAAGAGCACCAGGATCACAACAGTGATCAGGAGAAAGCTTTCCATTCAGGAGGAGGCTAGAATATGAAAAGCAAGGAGTGACTGGCTTCTGTTAGTATAAATGTCAGCATCCCCTGGGACTGCAGAAAAACTTAGGGTAGGAAGTACAGGGCTGAGTTCCAGCCAGTGAGCTGGAAGAAGAGTCAGGTTACAGGAAGTTGAGCACTCAAGGCACATGTGGAAACTGTGCCACCTCCAGCACGGGCTCGTGAAGTCTAAGAGTCAGCTCATTTCTTCAACTGGTATATTTTCTGCTGCATCTTATACTCTTTTCAGTTACAGTTCTGAATTTGGTGATTTTAATAGGCACGCTCTGCTATTTATGTTTCTGATTATTTTTAGAGTTTTGCAATTAAATTCTCTTAAATTAAAACTCGAGACCTAAGCATTGGATTGTCAGTAGTGTATCATGCTGTGTTCATATACGCAGTTTATATATTTGGGTTGCAAAAGCCTCAGAAAAAGGATATTTCAATATTTGGCACCAAACAACCTTGTTTCCACATCACCCACATATCTCCATGTCACCATGCACTGGCTTCTATTCCCACACCCTCAGAGACAGCCTCCAGATCCCTGGGAGCCCAAAGTTGGGAGAAGCAGAAAGACTCTCCAGCACTGTGAAGTGGAGAGAAAGCAGGAACTAGCCACACTCAGCTCTATCTGCCCCTTCCCCGAGACGAACTCAGCTCCACTTGCCCCTGTGCTACCTCTGGCAGTGCCCACCTTGCCAGCTCCTCCAAAGTCCCTTTGCTCCTCTCAGAAGCCCTTGCATATCTTGAGCACAATCACAGTCTCAGGTTTTCTCCAGTGAGGTACACAATGGCTCTCACGTCTCCACTCTGGAGAGTAATGCAAGTAAATATTTTCTCATCTTCTTTAAGACAGAAAAAGTCTCAACACCAAAACAAAGAGTAAATCAAGCCTTCTAATTAGCAGGATACAGATCTCCCAAAAGATAGAAGCCAAAAATCAAAGAAAAAAATGTAGGTTTCTGACCATAACCATTACCTTTACTCATTTAACAAATATTTATGGGAAGATTCATCTTAATTGGTTGAAAAGCCAGTGACAGGATCCCTGTGTTCCTGGATCATAAGAGATCAGAAACAAGCACTGTGGAGGCCATAGGATAGCAGCAATTAATAATACAAACCCAGTCAAAGGACGGGTAAGGAAAGCCTTTCTCTGAGTGTCATGTTTAAATTGAAACTGAAGGACCGTCAAACTGGAGCCTCAAGAAAAATTTCTGGGCCAGGCCACAGCAAAGTGAAAACCCACTGTTGAGTCAGCAATTCCTTTACCAGCAGCTCAGAAATAAAGGTGCATTTTTGCGGAAGGGATATAAACGGATTCTACATTTTATTTTGTACGTTGAAAATAAAAACCTATGCAAATCTTTCCAAATGATTCAGATAAGCACGCAAGGAAATACGGACTTTGTTGCAGCAATGTTTATAACAACAGAAACTTGCAACAGAAAAAAAATAACAGCAAGATAGGTCAAGCTCTTGCTGCTGAAAAAAATGTTTAAAAATGATGTAAACATACATTTATTGATGTGGAAGATGTACATATCTACGAAAAACAAGCAGGTCTCAAAGAACACCATAGGATGATTTCATGTATTGAGCACAAAATAGAAAATCAATAAAAATTTGCTGAATGAATAGCAAATAAATATATTTGAATAGATAAACACCAAACAAAATGTTCACATTCATTATTTCTGGGTGATTGGATTATTGGTGATTTAAAATTGTTTTCTGGATCTGCATATCTGATCTGGTTTTTTCATTGTATAATGCACGTGAATTACTCGCACAGTAAAAAGGAATATATAAAAAACAAATCTATCCAAAGCAAGCAATGACTTACCATGGTCAGTATTAAAGGGCAACACTTATAATTAGAAAATAGAACTTCAGGAAGGAACAGAAAATAATGGGGCTGGGTAAGTACACTAGATGGGAAATATTTTTCAAAAAAATTGAGGGTGAATAATCCTTTCTTCAATGCCACAGCAAAAATTTATTTAACACAAGTCCACTGCACATTATTCAGTTATCTGTAAGAGAGCACATTAGTTAAATATTTGTAAAAGAAAACATTTACAATGATGCAAAATTGAAGTCAACAAGGTTTATGTCTATGTGATGCCAAAAGATTACACTAAAACGGTTTATGTGTGCCAAACATCTAAATATTTGAGAAAATCTGCAAAATAAATGCCATTTGGATCAATTTATAGGGTGACTGATTGCATAATCCATGTTTCTCCAATGTTTTATTTAGCATAATAGAGATTGTGGCCTTGAGCAATCAGGCCAATAGCTGGGCACAAACCTAGCCAGGTCCATCGATGCCATCACTAAAAGCGTGTGCTGGGCAAATAACACTACTGACTCTCTGATGTCCTTTTGAGGCCAAATTATAATCCTCTGATTGTTCATATCATTAGGAAAATTCTGTTAACTTTGAAACTCTGGAAGCTCTGACAGAAGCAAAGCACTGGCTCTGATCCTGGCAGATCTAAGAAATCATACAGCAGGTGCTATGAAGAGCTGGCCAAATGTTGGGAACGGGGCCCTGGGGGACCTCCACAAATTGCAAGAACAGCTGCCTGTATCCAATATGGCTTCTCAGGACCCACACAAGCAGTGTAGCTCACACCTTCCTGAGGCTGTCTGACACACCATGCTGCAGACTTCCCACATATAGAAGGCATTCACAGTAAGTTGAAGAGGTCAGAAAAGCAGACTACAGAAGCAGGAGGGGACCTGGGCCTGGGAATACCTACCAAAGAGAAAAGGATGATGAGGAACATGGCCACACGAGCCACTGAAGTGACCTAGGCCTTAGCTCCTGAGGACAATTGAGAGTTATGGCTGTTATTTTGCAAAAGCATGGAACATTTGTGGAATAAACTCAAGGACGTAGGAAAGAAGAGAGGCCATGACCCCATAGAACAATGCTCCAAAGGTACTCACCCCATGCTGGAATCAGCTGTTTGCATGTGTTTAGTGGCCCCTGGAATGTGAATGCCTGAAGCTGGTACCTCATCTTACTAGGCTTGGCATCTCTGCACCCAGCACAGTCTAGCCAAGAGTCTTTACTCAGTAACCACTGGAAGTTAAATACATTGAGTAATGAACACATACACTAGCAAAACTATGTCTAGGTTCTAAATTGGCACATGCTGTGAAAGTCACAAACGATTCAAGTTATCCTCAGGAAATCCCTTAAATTTCCTAGAAGGTACATACCAGACAGTACCTCTCCTCTACAATGGACAGGTCATTGTTTCTAAGCTAGAGGAGGCAGCTACATGGTTCATGGAGGTATCATGCTGCACAGTCTCACACGTATGCACACAAACAACTACCACACAGAACACACTCAGCATTGCAAGTGTACCATGGTAGGTACTGTGTGTGAGAACCCAGACCCACTGAAAAGAGTGCAGGCTGACCTCCCTCTGCCCCCTTGCATGTTAACTCTGGGGGTCTGCTTGACCTGAATGGCATTGTGGATGAAATCTCAAGAATTATTTAAACTGTTCTTTTCTACTCTTTTCTTTCATACGGTACTCTTTTTAATTTTAATTTTTATTTTTATAGTACACGTTTGCAGTAAATAATGATTACATTCATTGTAGGGAGTTGGTACGTGTACATAACACATCTTAATTCTTCTTTCATCCTTTTCCCTTCCCTCTTCCCCCACTTTGTCCATCTCTTGGTCCCCTTCCTTATCCTTTGCAAAACAGCACAAATTAGTGAACTAGTTTGTGGGACTCAACTGTGTCCCTTTTATTGGATTACTGCAAACATAAAAGGAAACAGGAATGGGATGGGGAAGGGGGGAAAGCTGCCCCACCAGATTGCAGCACTGGCTGGCAGCCCCCATTGGCACTACATATTCTTGTGCTACCACCCCAGGTGCCAGCACATCTGCCTCTTCTGCTGGCCAGAGCCCTTCCTCCATACCGTCTAATCAGATCTTGACCTAGGCTTCCACCATTATTCAGTGTGCCTACTCCTAGACATACACTGGGGTTTCTGAGTACTACTGCTTCTTTAGCAAGCCCAACAACTTGGAGAACTGATTCCTGCAAGACAGACATTCATGTAATTTTCAGATCCTTTGTGGTTGATAGAGGAAGAAGGACTTATTGCCAAGCCAAACAGGACTATGTTAGCAGAAGTACACATGGATGTACAGTTCCTTATTATTACCAGTGCTGTGCCATGCCATATTAGAGCCTGAAGCAAAAGAAGAAAACTCAGAAACATTAATTGTGTATTGATTTAAAATGTTGATGTTTTTTAATCATAGATTTTTATATTAATCTTGCTTTTCTAAAACATTGCATTAAATATTATTTATCTTGACTTCTGAGGTGTTTATATTTCTGATGTCTATTTAAATTTTACAAATGAGATAAGAGCCTCAGTCATTTCATCCTACTTTCTACGGATAGAGATACTATTAATTGAGTGACAATCACATACCAGACACTGGACTTCAAAAAATCATACAGAAGACTCACAATACTTTTACCAGTAGTGAAGAATAGTCTCATTTGAGAAACGGGAAAAATGAAGTGCAGTAAGTACATGGCATAGGAAGTATCACAACAGCTGGAATGAGGTGGTGAGAACACACATTCAGGAGACCGTGAAGAGGAACATACCTGGTTAGAAAACACCAGCCTACTGTGGATCTTATTTAGGACAGAAGTGACGTGGTATCTTAGTTACTTTTCTCTCATTGCTGAGACAAAATATCTGACATCCAAAGTTAAAGGAGGAAAAGTTTACTTAGCTCACAGTCTGTAGAGGTTTCAGTCCATAATTGGCTGGCTTTGAGGCAGGGTGGCATGGTGGACGGGCTTTGCAGATGAGAAACAGTTCATGGCGAACAGAAGGCAGCAAAGCAACAAGAGATGACCACAGCTCTTTCCCTTATATCATTTCCAGGCTACTAAGGCAGGTAGCACTCACACCCCTAATCCTAGTGCCCTTGATCCTAGCACTTGCACCATGAGTCAGTCC